AGTAGAACTTCCTCCTACACCCAGACCCCAGTCATTGCCACTAGTACACATTTACATTAATCAGTTTAGTGGTGTAACTAGGTTACTTAGCATATTTAGCTAAGATTGTGCAGCACCTGCATTGTTTTACTGCAGCACAGGATGGATGTATTGATTGTCACTGCTTGTGCCACACTCTGACTAGTCTCTGATGGAGCCACATTTTTCAGCCGTTGCTGGTGTATTCCTGTTGTTTTGCTGTAAAAATCACTTGCACATATTTGATTGTAGGCTCCATTGTTGTATCAGACAGGAGTGACAGTCAAATTTGCCAAAACAAATCAGACTCAACAACATGTAGCCTAAACACACCAGTCATCCATCCTTGCACAGCTGCTGCAGTGCTACATTTCAAATATCATCCTGATTGACAGCTTACATGTACCACTTAGTGATAACATGCAGCCTGCCGAGCATTTACAACAGCAAACCAGCCATAATCAACCCCACACTGTCAGGCCTGTCTTACCTTAGACCAGATGATTTTTACTCCTCTCACTCTGTGAGAAAACATCCACCCTATTAAATCCATATATAATCAAATCCATATATTAATTCCATATAGCAGACTTCATGTTTTCTTTTTGTCCTGGTTTTCAGACTCCGTTCATCCTTCACATAGCCCAACTTTAAGACAGGTGTTCAGTAATGTTAATTTAAAACTCATTGGTTCAACAAGCATGCCCTCAGCTAAAACCAGCTCACAGGTCAGGCGGTTCATTCTTTCCCAAGGTGTTTTAGGAAAACACCGGGCCATTAACTCACAGTCGGTTCAAACAGCGTGGCACACAGTGGACAATGCCAGCCAGCACTGACACAAACGCACAGCACTTCTAGTCCCAGTAATGTTAATTTCTGAGGCTTAACAAATGTAGACACGCTGGAAATGAGCATGTTTAAAGAACAGCATTTTTTCAGTGTGTTCATGCACAACACTGGTCAGGAGTCTTATGTGTGTTGTTGAAAGTCAAAACTGGTGCCTTGTGGTGCACCTACATTTTGTTGTATCGTCTCTGACACCACACAGACAGTCTTTGTGGTCTATCAGACAAAAAGTCTCTACTTTGCAGTCCAAGATGGACAATTTTAAATCAAAAAAACCTTTTCAAAAAAAGTTGCAACATCAGTAACATAGACTTTTAAATGCAAATTGGAGGAGGTGATGACAGCAGTTTAATGTCCTATATATATTTAAGTGATTGCCTTCTATATATGAGTTTGGTTTGTGCTTAGGACACTGATAAAACTGTCAGAACTGAGAAAGAGGACATGAGCAGGACCGTTTAGATAATGTAATGATTTAGAGACCTCTGCTGTTGAAGATTTAGCATTACACTCAGTGGAACTAAAAAAAAAAAAAAAAAAAAAAAAAAAAAAAAAGATGTGACGTGATTAAGTACAGACTGGTGACAATGTTTCAATGAGTATGAAAATGCTGTGGCCTTTACGGTCACCAGATCCAGTTGAACACCTATGGGAGATGATGGAGCAGCGTGTTAGACAGCATCTCCACCACCATCAAAACACCACATGAGGGAATATCTATTAGAACAATGGTGTTCATCCCTCCAGTAGAGGTGAGAGACCCGGGGAGTTGATGCCAAGGAGCACTGAAGCTACTCTGGTGGCAGGTGGTGGCCCAGCACCTCACTGAGACACTGAGAAACTTTATGATGGGTTGTCCTTTAATCTGTCACCTGTCTGTATGTCAACAGTAACTGTGATCTTCATTTTATCTTTTTACAGTGTGTTATTGCAAAGACAACTTAAGTCATGTTTTAGATGCAGTGCAGCACAGACACTTCTACTTCTTATTTAGCACAGCCACTATTGTTTTCAATACTAACATTTGTATATTCATTAATACAGAAGTTATCTATGTAAATAATACTTGTTTACAAGTACTTTACTATGTCATGTACTGGTTTTGGCACTTCCTCAATATTTCCACTAGATGGCAGCAATAAGAATAAAAAGACCTTCAGGCTTGGGTATTACATGCAGTATCGGCTACTAATTGGCAGTTTGTTAGGTACACCTAGCTAAAACTACAATGACTAGTAATGTTAACAGGTCACAGTCACATTTCTGACACAACATTAATCCTTCTCAGTTTATCACACTGTAAAGTACTGACAAACATGCCTGGCCATTCTCTTTGGCCACTGTCAAGTTTTGGTATGTGGGTTTAGTGCACCTCTGTTTGGTGCTGCTTCTTTCAAAGATAAAGCACATAACACTTACATGCCACCTGCATGATAGGTAGCACAGGTACTGTATTGTATATTAAAGCTACATTAATTAACTTCACCCTTTAATTTTTAATCATTAAGGGCGAAGTGCGAGTCAAAACAGACTCGAGCAGTTCCCCTCCTCTTCTCCCTTCGCTCCTTTTTGCTCCTCCTGTCCTTCTTTGAAACTGCGTCATATGTGGTCATGACAGCCAGAGACACAGCTGTCTCAGTCGCGTAGCGCAGCAGTAATAGCCGGCTCTGGAACTAATGTATATGGAATATGGAGTCCATAGAGCCCGTGGTTTTTGGTGGCATTACAACAACACAATGTCAGATAAAGAGGTTTACATTTTAGTGATATGCACACGTATGTCTAACACTGTTTGTAGTGGATGTATCTGCAGTAACAAACAAATTATACAGAGGAATGTTTTTTTCCCAGTAGTATTAGTACAGTACTAATGTTTAGGCCACTATCGCATCATGTTCAGTGTTAACCCTGGTTTTGCCTCGTTCTTTGTCACCCTCTTTCTGTGCTACAGAACGCAGCCTCTTGGGTTTAACAGGTCCACTCCCATCCTGGGTTGTACCCACACAGGGAGCCTCCATGGTCTGTCTTTGAAATGAGCCATACTGGTTTGAAAAACTCAATCTCATAACCTCAGATCAGTGGGGCCATAGAAGCAGTTTGGTGCAGACTTTAACAACACAGAGGGGATGGCACAGTGGCGTACTGGTTAGTGCTGTCCCCTCACAGCAAGAAGGTTCCGGGTTCGTGCCCTTTTGTTGTGGATTTTGCATGTTCTCCCTGTGCCTACATAGCTTCAGCCCAGGTACTCCAGCTTTCTCCCACAGTCCAAAGACATGCAGCTTAGATTGATTGGCGTTTCTAAATTGCCCCTAAGAGTGAGTGTGTGTGTTTGTCTCCAAGTGTCAGCCCTGTGATAGAGTGGTGGCCTGTCCAGGGTGTACCTCGCCTCTCGCCCAATGTCAGCTGAGATAGACTCCAGCTCTTCTCAAGATTCAAGATTTTTTATTTGCCATTTATGCATAAACAGACAGTTTAGGCATATAGGAATTCTTGTGCCTCCCCA